ACGGCAGTCAGAGGGAGAGGGCCTGCTCGGAGGTCTCCTCCTCCTCCTCCTCCTCCTCCTCCTCCTCCTCCTGCGAGGAGAAAACAAGAAGGCACGGCGCCGAGACGTGCACCGCGGGGTGGGTGGGCGGGCGCGGACCTCCGAGGTGCGACGGCAAGCCTTCTCTTCGCTTCCTTGGCCAGCGTTTTCTCTGCTCACGGCCAGCGCGACGGCGCCCCATCGTCGGAGCTCTCGCGGGGGGCGGCGCGGCCCGAGGTCGGCGTCGGCGGCCTGGTCCTGCACGGGGGGGGGCGACGACGACGACGACGACGACGACGACGACGACGACGACGACGACGACGACGACGACGACGACGACGACTTGAGGTCGGCGTCGGCAGCCTGGTCCTGGCGCTGAACGCGCTGCCGGGGGTCACCACGCTCTCGTCCTGCAGCTCCGTGCACGCGGGGGCGCACGAGGAGCGCTCCGTAGCGGCGGTGCGCACAAGGAGGAGGAGGAGGAGGAGGAGGAGGAGGAGGAGGAGGAGGAGAAGCCTCCCGAGAGGTCCACACGGGGTCCTCGGCTTTCGATCCTCGATCGACGACGTCGACCTTCGATCCTGATCCCGCCGAAATCCTCTTCGGTGTGCGATTCTTGTGTGTGCCTTCGACCCTCGATCGAGCCCTGCGCTCCCGGAGGCCTCCTGCGGCCCCGGCCTTCGATCCTCTGGATGCAGGTGGGGTCGGGAGGGTCGCGCCGCATCGCCGAGGCGTCGGCGATGCGGCTCAATGTGGAGCGCGAGCTTCTCCGCGCAGACCGCGCCGACGCATCGCTGACGTCGCCGACGCCTCGCCGACGCATCGGCGATGCGTCGGTGATGCGGCGCGAGCGGCCCCATCTGCTCGGACCCCACCCGGGATGCCTCGATAGATAGCTTCCTGGAAGGCTTCCCAGAAGGGTTTTCAGAAGGCTGGGATGGCCTCTTCAAGGCTTCCGAGACAGGAGGGCCCCCCTAAGAATACAGGGTCCTTTGCTCGTGTGGTGTCCTCGTCGTCGTCGTCGTCGTCGTCGTCGTCGTCGTCGTCGTCGTCGTCCGAATCTTTCTGGCCGGTGCGGGGCTATCCCTGTCCCACTGCACAGCACGAAGGGCCCTCTGAGAGGCACCCTGCCTTTCCAGTCTTTGCGCCGCTGCAGAGGGTCGTCGTCGTCGTCGTCGTCGTCGTCGTCGTCGTCATCGTGCGTCTCTTTTCCTGGGGGAGGTTTTGGCGCCCCCGTCGGGGTGTTGGGCAAATCAGAGAGCAATGGTTCTTGCTTCCAGTCTTCGCATTGCAACATAACATGCCGACGTTGTTTACGCCTAAAGCTCTGCATGAACAGCTACATGCAACTTGTATGCCTAGCGCCCTCCTTCTTCTCTCCCTCGTCCGCAGGACGAAGCTCTCAGGTTTCCTATTCCTCGGTCCCTCGTCCTCGCGAGCGTTCCCTTCTCGTCGCGCCACCAGGCGAGTCAGCAGGGCGTGCCGGGCACTTCGCCAAGGACGTCCTCGCACGCTGCGGGCTGTTTTGGAAAGGCGGCTCTCACCCTATCACCGCGCAGATATGGTCGCACAGTGTGTGTGAGTGTGTGTGTGTGTGTGCTTGGCAGCGACGCGGGAGGAGCAGAGGCTCCTTCGATGGTGCTGTTCTCGCCCCCGGTGCATCGCCTGCAGCAGCTCCACGGAGGGAGGGCGGGCCGTCTTCGGGACGTCGTCTCTGCCTCGGCGCCGCGCACCATTCGCCCCGGACGTTCGCGACGGCTGCATGGATCGAGGGCGACTTCCTTGCAAGCTCGGGCTCCCGCTCGAGATCTCCTCACAGGTGATGGGCCTGTCTTCCACCACCACCACCACCACCACCACCACCACCACCACCACCACCACCACCACCACCACCACCACCACCACTACCACCATACGTTGGAGGGGGAGGAGGAGGAGGAGGAGGAGGAGGAGGAGGAGGAGGAGGAGGAGGAGATGGAGGGGGAGGAGGAGGAGGGAGGATGAGGAGGAGGAGGAGGAGGAGGAGGAGGAGGAGGACCCCCTCCCCCTCCAACTTATGGTGGTGGTGGCGGGAAACAGGCCCCTCAATACGTAGCCACCCAGTGCCTGCTGCGCCGCAGCCGCGCGAACGGGGGGCCCTTGCTCCTAAACTGACCGGGGCTCCTGCCTCCCTCGTGCTCGAGCGCCCGAGGCGTGCCGCGGGGCACGCTCTGCGCGGACGGAGGGCGGCGCCTCCTCGACAATGGGGCCCTGGCTCGGCACTTGCTCGAGCTGTGTGCTCCTCCTCCTCCTCCTCCTACTCCTCCTCTCCTCCTCCTCTCCTCCTCCTCCTCCTCCTCCTCCTCCTCCTCCCCCTCCCCCTCCTCCTCCTCCTCCTCCTCCTCCTCCTCCTCCCCCTCCTCCTCCACTTGCTCGAGCTGTGTGCTCCTGCGGTCAGGAGCCCTGGCTTGGCGCGTCGCGCCGCCAGTCCTGGCCCACCCCG